AGCCTAACACCACAAAGCCTGTCGAGACAAAGCCTGTCGAGGCAAAGCCTGTGGAGACACAGCCTGCCGAGACAAAGCCTGATGACACAAAGCCTGTCGAGACAAAGCCTGTCGAGGCAAAGCCTGTGGAGACAAGGCCTGTCGAGACAAAGCCTGATGACACAGTGGAGCCCACACTGAAGAATGCTGAGGAGGGTGAAGTGACCCCAGCTGTGCTACGCATGCTGATTGACTTGGGGCATGACAAACAGGCTGCACAAAATGCACTCTTGACTTGTGACAATGACTTCAACAAAGCGTTGGAGCTCCTTGAGAGTGTGAAGGAAGATGCCAAGCCAGAGGGTGACAAGGAAGAAGAAGGGAAGGACCTGACAAGACCCGAAGGTATAGACAACATGAAAGTCTTGTCGCCCGAGGAGCAACGGAAGATAGCTGTGAAGCAAACAAGAGGCCCCAAGGCTGCAGCAAAGGCGAAAGGAGGTCGAGGACGTGGTCGAGGACGTGGTCGAGGGAGGAAAGCAAAGAGTGAAGAGGATGAGGAAATGGATGATGAGGAAGAGGATCAGGATGAGGCATCCTCGCAAGATAACGACCATGAATCAGAAGAAGAAGAAGAAGAAAATGATGATGAAGAAGAGATTGAGGATGGTGATGAGGAGCCTGAGGACTTGGAAGTGGAGTCCAAGGAGAAGAAGAGGACAAGCAAAACCAAAACAAAAGAGAAGGCTGATGAGAAGACAACGCCAACAAGTCTGGAAAAGGCGGACGAGACCGAGAAAGACAAAGGAGACAGAAAAGGCAAAGAACAAGAGTCCAGAAAAGGATGACCAGGAGAAGAAGGAGAGATCAAACAAAAGGAAGAGCCCGGAAGAGACAACAAAGGCTGAGAAGAAGAAAGGGGAAGGAAAGGAAGAGGCTGATGAGAAGAAGAAGCCACGAAGAAAAGCAAAAACAGAAAAGGATCAGGAGAAGGATCAAATGAACAAAGCTGCTGACAAGGAGAAGAAGACGAAGCCAAAGACAAAGAGATCGAATGAGACAAATGAGAAGGTTGAGAAGAAAGCAAAGAAGGAACCAAAGGAACCAGAGAGATCGGCAGAGAATGAGAAGAGTGATGAAACGCAGAAGCGGCCAAGTGAGGAGGGAAAGGAGCCTTGCAGCAAACCAAAGCGACTCAGGAACTGTGATGACCCACGTTTTCACAAAAAGCCAGGGACTGAGTCTGAGAAGGATGAGAAGGCTGAGAAGGCTGCAAAGGCAAGCAGGAAGTCTATGCTGTGCCAAAAACAAGGCGTTGAAAGATGGACTTTCGAAGGAAGAAGCTTTGAAGAAAGCCCGTGAAGTATGGCACTTAAACCTTTCCACTTACAATAGAGTCTGCGTTCAGTTTTTGTGTAACTAAGGCCTACCATGGAACCAGCTGAGTTTGCAAGGGGTTGAGTGGGCCATCTAGAAATGATGGCCTGTGAGGGGATGTCTCACGTGCTTCATCCATACAGTGTGGGCTGCGCAGTAGCGCTCACGATTGGTGGCTGATCTAGACCACGTGAGTTGGGGGAAAGGCTCAAACCGACATTCTTGTGGAATCTTCTAAGCTTGCTTCCACGGAGAAACTTGCATCATACATATATTTTTTACAAAGGCTGAGCCCTTCCTCCACACAGGTCTTCGTGCGATGGTCCTCTCTGAGCGCAGGGCTCTTCGTGCAGCCAGCTTTGAAGGACTGCTCACCACCACCTCACCTCAGTTTCTTCACTGGCTTGGCGTTGTAGCAATTCTTTCAGTACGTGTATTATCGATCAGTGAGCTCTAAGCTTTTGGGGCTCGAACAGTGGGTGGTGAAAAATAATGCATGAGTGCCATGGATTCTCTTGTTGTGAACCTTCTTCATATTGGAGCACCAAAGGTGTCCCAGCTCAAATGGCCCAGGCAAAACCATATAACAACAATATACACCCCAGAAAATTAACATGGAACCTGAAAGTGGACCTTTGGAAGACTATTTCCCTCTACAACCCAGTGGTTTTCAGGTTCCATGTTAATTTTCCTCGGTGTAATAGATATTATACAATATACATTCCGACTACTCAGGTATTGGTGGCTGCGGCATTGATGACATCCTGGTGCACCAATCTTCCACCAATATGCCCTCGCTTTGACTTTCCAGATCTCTTTGCAGGATGTGCACAAGCATCTAAACCATGGCATCTAAGCAAAACATACGTGGCTTCTACGTGGGGTTGATGACCAGGACACCGAATCGTATCCCCAGGTCTGCCCATGGATATCGATGTGCCAAGATCGATGAGCAGTTCCGGCCAGGGGAACGAACCATGAATTTCCTGTCTGCAGCAGGTCTTTTGCACTTGGGCTGTAATGGATATGAATTGCACGTGTAACTATAATTTGTGCGAGAGCAGCTTGGATGCCCAGGCTGGTCCTGCATACGGTGATGTGTGAGGTAGAGGTAGCGGTCAACTTCATGGGCCCTGATTGTTCTTCATGGGGTTTACCAGCAAGATCTACCTCGATGAGGAATTTCGCTAATTCCTATGGAGCTATGCATTTGGGTTTCGTGTTTGAAGCAAACATGACTGTGTCCAGGTCCCTTAGCTGTGATCAGTGTGAACAAAAAATTGTCATCTGCACCGGTGTTCTCTTTTGGACCATGGAGCCAAGGTTGACATTGATATGTATGGTCATCTTAGCCAAACATGCGTATTTTGTGTTTGAACAACCTGGTGCAAGTATACTGTTTCGACACCAGCGATGGGACCACTTTTTGCAACAGGGTTTGTTTCGTATCCTGGCTAGACTGCTGTCCTATTCCGCCTCAGGCCCCCAACCTGCTTTGCAGCAATGGCCTTGGTGGGAAGGGAGTGTTGGGATTGATTGTTCGAACTGTGCTAGGTATACTTTGAGCGCTTCTACATGATGTTGCTGGGATCACTCACACCCAAGCCAACTCTATGCTATTCCAATGGTTCATGGATTGGAGGTTTGAACGTTGGCCGGTTGAAGAAGGAAGTCAAAGAGACCAATACGAAGCTGAAACCAGTTCGCTTGGGCCCTATCTTTTCTGCACATGCATCGTACTGCAAACAGGCCTGTATACAAAATTATGTTTGTTCTGAGGCAATTACCTCAAGGATGGAGTCAGGAGATTTAATGGTACTTCAGACCTGAAGAAAACAGCGTTTGGACCTTAGGACCTCAAACATGGTACCCTGTGTGGGCCCCATTTGCTTCCCTCCCGCTTGGCCTCGGGTGCTGAAGGGTTTGCACTCCAGCTTCTCCGGCTAACCGAAAGGTCGACGGGCTATGCCAGGACATTTGCGACATCGGCAGGATCTAGACATGTCCAGAACAGATCGTGAACTCTTTGAACAAGAACCTCTGGGTGACCCTTGGGTAGATGCTGGCATGCAGCATGTTTGGGCATATTTGTGGAACTGCAAGCATCTGAAGATACCGGATTCATGGTTGGGTACTATGCGCAAATTCAACCAAGAGTTGATGAATGCTGTTTCTCAATTGCATGTTGCGCTGTGTGCTATTTTGCAAACACTTTTGATTGGTACTATATTCGATCAGTACATGAGACCCTGGCTGCCCAGGTTTGTGTTGATGAACGCGATCGCTTAGAGTTCAACCAGGCTGTTCATAATTCGCAGATTGAAGGGATTTTGCAGCCATGATCCGATAATATGGATCGAAGTGAACATCGAACGTACGAAAATCGATGCAAAAAAACCGCAAATATCCGCAAACAAATGCAGAAAGCCGGAAATCCTAAAAGTGTATCACTTTGTTTTTTTGTTTTAATCTTTGGCTTGGTGAGATGTAGTTGGCATAGAAAGGATCTGTTTTGTTCGAGCTTCCCTGGATCAAGCAATGTCCGGTCGGTTGGCTTCCTGCAGCACCCTGGTCAGTGGTTGTGCTATGACGTGTGCAGATGGAAACTCTGCAAACCCACGGAGTGATCTTCAAGCCAGATAGCTGTGGCCTGATTTAAGTTGAAACATATATATATATAATTGCATACTGTGAGATCACCAGTCGTAATTGAGATTCAATTTTGATCTGCACCGTGAACCCAGGCATCTCGGGCCAAGATCCAGGCAATGCAGGCACGCCTTGCAGGGATGTCACCTGCTCCTCCCACGGCCTTGGTTGTTCCAGGTCCGCCGGTGTACATGATCATGTGAGATATGATTTGATAGGTACCTGGTGGATTGTTTGTAGAATTCTTCACCCCCCAATTTGTCCTGAAGGTGCACCAACGATTGCGGCCGCTTCTGGAACTTTTGTGGCTGGGAACCATGTGAAGGAGGTAGCTGTTCATGGGCCACCCAAGGAGACACCAGGCAAGGTCTTGGATGAGCCCATTGACAGCTGTTGGAGGCTAGAGGTACCTGAGAAGCCCGAACCAGACCATCGAACCTTCAGTGACAATGACACGCCTGCAGTTATAGAAGTGACTGATACTCCACAGCCAAAAGCTCCTGTTGATGTACCAGGATCCCATGTGGCGTTTGCAGGTCCATCAGCCCCTCTTCCTGAGTTTCCTGCTACGCTGCCAGATTCTCCAAGAAAATCGGAGAAGCGGCCTGGGCAGTCCATGAGCTGTGAGAGCCTTCCTGACATTCCTCTAGGGTTTTCACCTGCAACACGTGAGTCAACACCAGCACCTTCTGTGGCCGATACGTTCAGTTCTTGCAAGTTTGACAAGTACTATCATAAGAATCTAGCAAGCAAGAGGAGTGTGTGCGCACATGTTTAGATCTGTGACTGCCATGAACTGTTTTGGGGTACATATCTCAGGATAAGGCGCTACTGCAACCCGAAATCCAAGCAGAAAATTACAGCATCGAAGGAGGTTTTGGACTTGTATGGCAGTGAGTCGGGTCGTGCTTTGCTTTTGAATGGTCATCCCAAAGCCATGCCATGCACTCCCAAGCACTGCTGAACAGTTTGCCTGCCCTAATGTCACTATTAAGGCACCAAGCTACGTGAGCTCTTGGAACAGCATGGTGATTTTAAAGCAGTTGAGTTGGAAATTTCGAAGTGGAACAAAACGGTCAACAACTGTGGACATGAAGGGCAATGGGTGACGAAGCAATACTTGATGGATGTGGAGAAGTATACCAGGTTCCCTGTTGGCAATCAATATGCACTAGGTTTTTGACCCGATTACCATCTTTCACACCTGAATACCCTCACATCTATCCAATAGGGTCCCATTGGCTAGGCAAATGGCGGACAAGTCGTTTGCTTGGGCCGCATCTCGTGGCCTTCTACGGAAGAATGCAGTTCATGGTGAAGAAGAAGCCCGGTTAGTCCTTAAGGACTACTTTCAGTTCAACAATGAAAAGGGTTCAATGCAGACCGCAAAGGCTTCTGGAGAGGTGGAGGACCAATTCACAATTCTGTACACGTGTTGTGATCCATTTGCACAAAGAACATATAGGGTTGCATGGGGATCACTGCCTAAACATGCTTGCAGGATGCGCATAATGGGCTTCTGGACACGGAGGGTCTTGAAGATCCTACTGTTTCCAAGATGGTTGAGGGGCAGAACTCAGCCACATCTGAGCAGGCGGCAGGTGCTGCTGCGAATGCGGCTGCTGCTGGCAATGGCAAGCAACTTGTCGATCTTGCCCTTAGTGGGGAAAAACACGTGTGCGCATAGGTTTTCTGGAGCATGTGGAAAGACAGCCCCTAAGGTATGTCTTGCCATCTTTATCGAAGAATGAATCGCCTTTGACTCTTGTGCCTACCTTTCTCCAAGTCTTGGGGAGAAAAGTGGATGCCGCAACAGCACAGCAGGACAGCTAATCGATGGATTTGAGTATGCCTA